ATCTGTTCCAGTCAATGCCATCAACATCTAATGCTTCGACGACGACGCAATGCGGTGGAGATATAGAAGAGCTGGAACTTGTCATTCCACTGAATGATACGGGAAGTGCTGGTTTGGGAGTGAGCCTTAAAGCACGGGTAACAGTTCGAACGAATGGGACTAGGCAGGATTGCGGAATATTCATAAAAAATGTAAGTTTGTAAGATAGTTAGGGTGCCAACATAGATCCAGTCTTTTGAATTTTTTGATCCTGGTCTTCCCTGACCAGCAAAGAAGCTAAGGGTGGTGGCATAGTTGGTCACAAATCCGAATCCGACTAGGTGCGCTAAACAACGCGCAAAACGCTGCTGCTCCGTTAGTACGATCGCGGTCGCACGTATTCAGTAATCAAATATTTCACTTTTTTTATAATCTCTAAAGAAGTTGGAGTATCATTTTAACCGCAGTTGCTTTTGATCCTGATTTGGACATGCGCAGCAGCAGTTGTGCCATACTTGATGGCAAATCCTGATCCAAATTGGTGCGCTAAACAGCGCGCAAAACACTTTCGATGATCTGAAACTCAAGTTCACGACTTTGATAGTTGAATAACTTGCACTAATCAAAATCGTCGTAGACGCTGTCTTAGCCAAAAATTATTAGAGTTGAAAAATTTCTTTGCGTTCGAAAAACAAAAATGAAGTCTTTTAGCGAGCAATGCTTATTAGTAACTTGCTTATTTAGGTTCTCCACGGAGGTGCTGCACATAAAGATGGACGCCTCCGAGTTAATGATCGCATAGTAGGCATAGAGGAACTCAGATTAGATGGCGAGACTAACGCCACAGCTAGTGAGGCGGTATCACGAAGACTCAAAGCCATAGGTCCCACGGCTAAGTATGTACGGTAAGCGTAGCATTAGCGATAGTGGTGGAATTTTGAGCAACACGTATTTTCTAGGTTATTTATTCAACGCGCTAGGACACCCCAGATGTCGCGATCTATATCGCAACCTCAGGCAGTGTCTAGAGTCTGCGTCGATGGTGATGAGGGACCATCCAGAATCTCTGTGATAGCCACAGAATCGACTTCTTCTGAGGGGAAGCCGTCGCCTTCAGATGGCTTAGATTCAGATATTGGAAGGTAGCACTTGCAGATGCATTTTTCCTCACCCTAGGTTACTGTAGGATTAGCCAAACTGCATTTTTCCATCTTCAGGTTGGATGAATCGGAGCTTGCAAACGTTTCGGATCCATTCAGCAGAGAAGCACCAACACGGAAAAGTCTAAGCGAAAAACGTGGCATGGGTGCTACTTCTGATCCGCACCATATAAAACTGTTCCAAGACATCAAGCA